CTTTGCTACAGACTTCTACACAGAATGAATATCAGATGAGCATCAAGAGATGCATGCATAAAGAGCGTCAATATGAAACAATTCATTTCAAAAGTGCTTTTTTATGGCTGTGATGTAAATGAATACAGATTTCTGTATGTAAATGAATACACATATGGGATTCTGGGTACTATAACTCAGGGTTAAAGAATGGCAGCAAGAATGCATGGGTGGTGAAACCATCAAGCATTCTGTTTTAAGTCAGAAAAGCACTCAAACATTGTCAACCTTGCGCTATGATGTTACCAAAGTTTGAATTTATTGTTTATATAGTCTTGATTATGGACAATTGTGAAGTAAACAGAAACTAGCTACAGACTACAATAAAGTGATACACCGCTCAGAAACGTATGCAATGTGAGTTCCAAAGATGTGTAATTTCCATAATGTACTGTACAACACGGTAGCCAATGTATATATTCCAGCATGCCAGCTAGTTTGTCCTTTTTCAATCCTGAGTGCCTATCTCATGCTGTACTTCAACAAAATTTCATCTCATTTCAAATCTGACAAAAGGTACTCAGAAATTTTACAACAAATTTGAAAGCAAAAGTAGTGTAAAAAAGTGCATTAACACAAGGAATGACAATTCAGTTCTCCATTCCTTTGTATAAGACACAATTAAAACAAAAGGAATGCTTTTTTTTCATAAAAGGGAGAATTCACATCTCAGTATATAATAATATGCACAAGGCTAGAAGCAGTCATATTAGGGGGGGTTACAGGTCATCCAAATGTTACATGATTACATTTATTTATTCTAAACAGCATTATCATTCGGAGAAACTTATCTAACTCTAATTTTATGTAAATTATACTAAATGTTGGATTTTACGCCATGGTTCCATTTCCTCCAAGTAGCCTCTCAATAGCAGCGTTTAAGTCGCCACCAGTCTGTTGTAATGCACGTATATTCGCTTCTCTGTCTATAAAACCCATTGCGTTGAGCTGCTCTAATTGAACTCGAAATCTCTCCTCAGGTGGCTGGCCCTGAAAGAAAGGTCAACTGGATGTAAATAAACAATACTACCATTAAAATCCTATTATAAACCACGTTTTATATTACAATGTATCAAATAAAAAATTGGGATCAACAGCTCAAGTTCGGGGTGCGGTTTCTATTACGTACATATTGCAATCACTAAATGGGCGTGGTCATTTTTTCCCACATCACTTGCACAAAACAAACAATACACCGTACATCTTTTGAATATAAGGGTAACTCCAATTTAGATGTCAGTGAAGAGTGATAAGCATCACGTCACAAAAAGACTGTTCACATGAAAAAAAAAAATACTCAGTATTTTTAGTGTAATATGCATTTATTTTTTTTAATTTTCTTCGTAATAGAAAGTATATTCTGACAGGAGTATCAAATAAAAACAAGCACTAAAAAAGTACGGTACCGTAGGTACGGTAACGCAATCCGGCCATGCTTCGATTCACAAGTGAATAACTTACTTGTTTTCGAAGTGTTGAAATTGTTGATTATTACTCAGTAGTGATTATAATAACGCACGAAAAATAAATTCGTTGAATTGTTATCAAATGCAAGTAAAATTCAACTTAGTTTCACCGTAAGCGAATTATTTCGGTTACATGTAAACGATCGATGCAATAAGACATCCGCCATGTAGTTTGAATGCACACGAGACGTTACTTGACCAAATAGGTCAAGTCGCCAATCAAAATGCTGGATGGTGCCCACGTGTTCAAATTACCTTGGTTCATTTAAATATGTTAATGAAAGGTCACCGACTTCATGGTGAACGAAACCCGAAAGCGATTTACCGATAATGTCGTGCGATATTTTGGCTTTGATTTCCATGGAAAAACGACATGACTTTTTTTTTTAAATTAAGAAATTAGTTGTTTTCGAAAGATAAACTGAGCATTGAAAAAGCATTTAACAGTTTTTTGGTGATAACAGTTAATTGTCGAAAACTTGCGACATGTGGACGTATTCATAAGGAGTATTGACAAAAGTTGTCGCAAGAACAAAAGCAGTTTCACTGCGTGTTTGACATCCTAACACTACTGAACAATAAAGAGGTGTGAATATTTTTAGGCACGTTGTTGAAACAAATGAATAGGATTAGGAACAATGTACCAGGCTCGGTTGAAACAAAGTCAGTCACGGTCTTGTTGAATTGGGGGTGCGGTTAGTAATAGGTACTTTTCATGTTTTCAATTTTTGTTGAGAACTCTTTAACACTGAAGCCGAAATCGGGGGTGCGGTTACTATTAGGTATGCGGTTTATAATAGGATTTTAACGGTACAGATGTAACAGTGTCTTGGTTTCTAAAGGCTATCCAGAAAGAAAGAACAAAAAACAATCACAATCTTATTGAATTCTAAATTTGTAATTTATGTCTTTAAAAATTGTAAAAAAATTCAGTGATGTTGAAATTCAATTAATGAACCCATAAGTTGTTAAAAATTCACTGAAAGAATGACACCCTAAGATGCTGAAAAATCCAGTGACTCGATGCTGCAAACTCAAATACAAATTAATCTATGGAAACAAGTCTGAGATAGGTAACTGCTGCATTAAGGATATGACATAAAAGATTTCACACGTCTCAAAAACTTATGATTAAACATAGGGCGTAGGTGGATTTTTCAATGAAAATACAAGTCCCAAAAAAAAATGTTATGATCATTTTTTGAAATTTTGAACCCAAAATAAGGGCCCACCAGCCATGAAATTGCCCAGGGCGATTTTTCGGATGAGCAAATTTACGGCAGAATTCGATACTAATATTAACATAATAACTATTTGAATGAACACAGAGAAAACAGTCACACATACCGACATCATGCCTGTCCCACCCATTCCTGCTAATGTCTGCATCATCTGTGCCATCAACTGACTCATATCTGGCTGTTGTTGTGATGATGGTGCTGTACTGCTGGTGGTGCTAGTAGAAGTAGGTGTGGGGGTGGTGGTGGTGGTTGTTGTTCCTGTTGATCCAGCAGGACTTGGTGATGATGATGTTGTTGATGTTGTAGTTGGGGGAACTGTGGGGCTTGGTCCTGACATACCCGGCATACTGTGAAAAAGTATCAAGGTTGGTATTATACATATGTACACATGACTATAGCTTAAAGTTTATGAGATTGTCAGAAAGCACAGCTAGTTTGTAAACTTGTGAACAGAATCCTGCTGCAGAAAGTAATCAGTTCGCTTTGTTATACATGGTCAGACATCAAAATGATTACAGGACTTCCTCATTTCACACTGAAAACTGTGAATCCCATTCAAACACTTTTGTTTACACTGGACACAACAACAATCTAAAACATGACACAAACAGAATCTTGTCCCTGAATGCTAATCATAGTACATAATATCTCATTTTACTCACGGGGATTTCATCTGTTATTCTCTCACTAAATTTATGATTATAAGTAAAAACAAGTCATTGAAAATTACACAGTCCCCGTTAAATCAAGTTTGTGCTCGTCATATTAAAGCAGAGGGGTTGTCGGGAGCGTGTCCTTGAAACTTGAGTATACAACAGATTGTTTATTTACATCAAAACATGCGTTCCGTGTAGTAGTAATATGGCCAAAAATAAAAACCGCCGTTATTCGGCCATCTTTGATCTGATTATGAAACACACTGATATGTATGATGTATGTGCCAAATACGAATGAAAATGGTACATAAATTGTGGAAATATAGTAGTACGGCCAAGAAGTCAGATGGCTGTCAATTGGCCATCCTTGACCAGATTTTGAAACAAATTGTCATGGACATGCATTCTAATATGTATAAAGTACATGTATGTGCAAAATTTGAATGAAAACTGACAGAGCATAAAAAAAAAAAAACTAGATGCCTGCCAGTCGACCATCTTTGAGCCAATTGCGAAATAAATTGTCATGTACATGTATCCTAACATGTATAATTTATGTACCAAGTTTGAATGACAACTGACAAAGCATGTCCAAAACACAACATTTTCAAAAAAAAAGATGGCTGCCAGTCGGCCATTTTGAAACGAATTGCTAAACCACTGCATGTGCATATGTCCCACATAAGGTACTCGGCACATGCAAAGAATGAACGGAATCTGTCCACAGGATTCTGAAATACGACTCTGGACAGACTGACCCACGGACGGACAGACTCAGGAACTCACGGACGGTTGGAGACATGTATCCTAACATGTATGATCTATGTACTAAATTTGAATGAAAACTGACAAAGCATGTTCAAAATACGACATTTTCAAAAAAACAAGATGGCTGCCAGACTTCGTCCGAACGGGGACTAAAAAGTCCATAAAATATGTATCCATGCAGTACTGGATACAGTACAGGTTGCCTGCTTTCATACTGCTTTGGTGTATTCTCATAAGTGTCTAACCAGAGCAATGCAGCTTTCAGAGAAGCCTACTATAGACAGTATAGAATCCTATCTTACATACATATCTACCAGAATGTCAGTTTACTCACCCAGGCACCGGTCCAGGTTACCAAAGCAACCACAGACAGTACAGAAACCTATCTTACATACACATATATGTCAGTTTACTCACCCAGGCACCAGTCCAGATTACCAAAGCAACCACAGACAGTACAGAAACCTATCTTACATACACATCTATGTCAGTTTACTCACCCAGGCACCAGTCCAGGTTACCAAAGCAAACACAGACACAGTACAGAAACCTATCTTACATACACATATACCGTACTCGACCGCGTTAGCGCCCAGGGGCCTCAATTCAGAAAATCATGATTTTTTAGGGGTGGGCGCTTACCCGAGCACCCCCCTCGAAAAAGAGTGCAAATGAAAAATTTGATTCATCAAGTGACAGATTACGTCTTTGAGGGAAAATCAAATTACGAAATTAGTTGAGTCGTCACTGATTTTCATAAGGAAGAAACAAAAATGATCACAACAAATATGCACATTTTATTACAATATTAATTACGTACCACCAGAATTTATGAAATTAAAAACATTCGAGTCTGTTGGAACACAGTCAAAGTCAAAATTGTCATATTATCTCCACTGACGAAGGTGTTGGATCGTACGCAAACTCTCGATGAAAATCACTTTCCGCCATGATGCATTTGCATTTGACCTGCAGCAGCATCCTTTGACCTAATGGGTCAAGTTGGTTATTT